TACCTTTAGAATGGACAGCATCAGCACTGTGATAACTGAGCCAGGGCAGCCTGTCAGTCTCTGTGCGGGCTGGTGGCGTCCTTTCCGGGTGACCGCATGACTCCCTCAGAAGGCTCCCCATGAAGTGAAAGACTGAAAGATCCCCTTCTGGTTCAATATGTGGAGAAGCAGAAGGAAAAGTGGGGTCATAGCCCAGCGCATGGTGATGCTGAAATAGTAAGAGGCCTGGCTGAATTACAATAGAATAAAAGACAAACACATGATTTATACATATTAACGAGGATGAGCAAACATGTTTAGGCAGTAAGCTTTCCATCTATGTTTCACGGTGTATTTCTTCCATGCATAGATTCACTGACACTATCCTCTTGATTCAATCACTGGTGAAATAGATATTTATTTTTTTATTTTTAATATATTTTTATTGATTTCAGAGAGGAAGGGGGGAGAGGGAGGGAGGGAGGGAGGGAGGGAGGGAGAGGGAGAGAGAGAGAGAGAGAGAGAGAGAGAGAGAGAGAGAGAGAGAGAGAGATGATGAAAGAGAATCATTGATCTTCTACTGCCTTCTGCATGCTCCACACTGGGGATCGAGCCCACAACCCAGGCATGTGCCCTGACCTGGAATCGAACTGTGATCTCCTGGTTCATAGGTCAATGCTCAACCACTGAACTATGCAGACTGGACTACAATGTTGTAAGACCTCTTCTAGATGCTCAAGAAACTAAGATATGTAAAACATGGTTCCTGTTCTCCAAATGTTCCCTATCAAACAGCAATAATACTTCACTTCTGCCTGACATTCAAGAATTTTCTATGTGCTTCCTCATTTGGTTTTCCACAAGAACCCTACAGGGTTGTCAATGAATTATTCATTAATTAATCAAAACAGGATTCTGGAAATGGGTTAGATATCATTAGCCCATTTTACAGATAGAAAATAAAAACCTAAGAGAGGTTAGGTGATTTACTTGAGATTATGGTGAACCCGGACTCAAATCCATGTCTAATGACTGAGCCCAGTGCTTTTTTTTTTCCTCTACCTCAATCTGGCGATCCAACTCCATCAAGTAGATATTCAGATTACACAATTTACACAAACAAAAGGATTTCTGAAAACATATACTTTTTGCTTAAGATTCTTACTTTTCTCAGTATCTCAGATCATAAAGCAGAAACTAGTGGGAGCTTTAAGAAGAAATGTACATTTATATATAAAAAAAGACACTGTTCTTATTCTGAGTGCTAAGAATGTACTCAAATTGATGACACTGGTGATTACATATTTAGCATACCTGCGGGGTGGTTTTCACACAAGTTAATGTCAATCCTATGGTTATGGTGGTGCAAGAATCATTAACAAACTTTAGCATGTCTTTTTAAAAAATCAACATATGCTTTGAAATGATCTGTACCTTTGAGATGTACACCCTGAAGTCATTTCAGAGATGTATTTTTTAAATAAAAAGTACAAAAAAATTCTGAAATTGGAATTCAGGCTTTTAGAATACCAACTTATTAAAACTATGATTCACTTGGCTTTTTTCCATGTTGGCCATAAGTTCTCAAGCTACTTCAATATGAGTGAAACTTGACAGATATTTAAAAAATAATTATGGTTTCAATTAGGCATTTGCTCAGTTTCAAAGACTCATTATATGCAAATTAGATCTTAGCACAGTACTTCATATAAGTCAGAAGAATAAATTCTTTTGATCAGCAGGAGTCAAAAAATAGAGTACAACGATTCTAGCTCAATTATTAACATTTATGTACTATGAAACTGACCTTATCTTCAGAAAAGTCATATCCAATGAAATAATCCACCTACACACAAATTAAAACAACATTCTCTAAAGTGCAAAAATATCTACAAGTTAGAGGTCATTGCCTAGGTCTTAGCCAACTGATGTAATACAAAGTTGAAACACGAGAGGGCAATGAAGATTTTTTTAAAAGAAAGTTGGATCCCATAACCTAAGATTCCTGGAAATAGCTGCACATTTTCACCCAAATTATAAACATCTGTTAAATGAACAAAGATATTATGATTATTTGAGAATACAATGTAAGATAGCTAATCCATCAAAAAGGATAAAAAGATTACTACCTAAACACCTTCTGGCCACAAGTTCTACCTGCTTTGGAAAAGATGAATACTCACTCTGAGGTACTCCAGGGAGGGTAAGTATGGGAACAAATAAATAATTTTGATCCACTTATTAGCTATCAGACTGTTCTTCACTATGATTAAATACTAGTGCAACTGAGTGTCTAAATATGAACTATACTGCTCGGCTGTGGTGGCTCAGTGAATTGAGCATTGTCCCACGGACCAAGAGGTCTCGGGTTCGATTCCCAGTCAGGGCACATGCCCCGATTTCAGGCTGAATCTCCAGTAGGGGGTGTGCAGAAGGCAGCCAATCAATGAGTCTCTCTCATCATTGATGTTTCTACCTCTCCCTCTCCCTTCCTCTCTGAAATCAATAAAAATATATTTTAAAAAATCAGTATTAAGTATACGAAGATGAACTTAATGTTTGTAATGCACTACAAAGGTGAAATTCACTCTATTAGCTAAGACCAAAAAACCAGACAACTGAACATTTTTGGTACAATAAGTAAAGGGTATTTCCTTATTTTTCCCTCATTTCCATTTTTTTCTATCTAAATTGGGGGTTAAAAAACAAGAGACCAAGTAATAAAAAGCAAATTGTTATTCTGTGAATAGTTATTGAAATTAATATTCTCTCAGAAAAATTCTAAAGCAGTTTCAAGAAAAATATGATTTTTCAGAGTTATCTATAATAATAAAAGCGTAATATGCTAATTAGACTGGACATCCTTCCGGACGAAGCTAGGACTGCGAGGGAAGTCCGGATCCCAGGTGCCAGAGGGAGGCTGGTGCTGGCAGGCGGGGGAAAGAAGGCCTACTCTTGCATGAATTTCATGCATCGGGACTCTAGTATTTCATAAATAGTAATAAATGCTTCACAAATGTAAGTTTTGTTTCTTCTTGGAAATTATTCCTTAAAAATGTGTATTTTTAAAAAAACAAAATCTATCCAAAACATTTCTTTTTCCATAGAATTTTCTTACAAATATAAAATTGTTCTGATTTTAAAACAAGTAAATGCAGGTGCTCATGCCACAGCATGAAAAGCGTACTGCACAGTAAGAGAGGGAGAGGAGATAGTGATGTAAAATGTTTTCCTCTAGAGAGTAAATTGTTTTTAAATTCAGTTCTATGATACAACTGAGAATAATTTCTTCATGATGCATGCACCAAATATTATTATCTAGATTCTAGAAAACTGAGTACTTCTGACAAACTAGTATACTAAAGAATTTGCTTTTAAATCTTGTGTAGTACAAACACACACCCAAAAACCATGTCATGTCCCTCTTATCTATGAATAGAAAATGAAAATACAATTATTTTAAACCTTTAAGCACCCGATTATATATTAAATAACTAGAGGTATTAATAAGCTGCTGGCAATACAAAATATTTGAAAATACTTTTAAACAAAAATAGTTTAAATAGGTTAATTTAAATCCACCAATCTTTTACTGAGGTGCGATTTTTCCCCCCAGTGTGAAAACCACAATTCAACTCAGTGACATTATAATGTATGCAAATTTGATCAAACTGTGATATTATAAGAATGTACTGTCAACCAAAAATGCTCAAATTTCAATTACTGCTTTGTCAGAGGAACAACAAATGTATATTAGCATTTTATTGCAAAGCTTTGCTACATTAAGAGTGTTTAAAAACTTGTGCCAAAGTGTGGTAGGAAACTTTTTAAAGGTGAAAGAAATTGGCTGAAAGGCAAGAAAAAGCTAAGGGCCACTGTCTGCGCAAAGTCTGCCCTGATTCTCGCAGAGAAGCATTAACTGGGGGTGTCACTGTTACCTGCTTTAAGCACTGACTGCTAAATGGTCTCCTTAGCATGCGGGCCCATCTAGAGGAAAAGATCTATGATAGGAAAGCATGCATACAGTAATGCAGAGACAGAAAGAAGAACGTGCTTTCTTGCTTATGCTGACTGGGGTTTTAGTCCAAAAAGGTTCCAGGAGACTAAACTTTACAAGTAAGTGGACTGGCCCATAAATTCTGTTACACAGGCCTCTACCCCTTACACATGCACTCAGCATACATACTTTTATAGTCTGTCTACTCCACCATTATTTTACTTTCTGCTTTTGCTCTAAATTCCATTTTTCCCCAGAGGTTAGACTTTATAGTCTGCTCACAAGTCAGTTTTACTCTAATTTCACCTCAGCATTCTATCCTTTTAGAGCAGGGGTCCTCAAACTTTTTAAACAGGGGGCCAGTTCACTGTCCCTCAGACCGTTGGAGGGCCGGACTATAGTTTAAAAAAAAAACTATGAACAAATTCCTATGCACACTGCACATATCTTATTTTGATGTAAAAAAACAAAATGGGAACAAATATAATATTTGTATTTGCATGTGGCCCGCAGGCCATAGTTTGAGGACCCCTGTTTTAGAGTAACTAGTCAAAATGATACACCCCTAGTTAACCGTCTCTAAAAACCCTGACAGTCTCCAATTAATCCATTATCTCCTCATTAGTGCAGCCATGCCATTTAAAAATGCTGGGTCCGAAATTCTCAAATTCCCTTAATAGACAGCTAAAGGGGCAATACCAAAGCCTTGTGCTGACCTCCAATTCTAGAGCCGTGGGCTGCTCCAGAAACAAAATCATATTCCCCTTTTCTGCAGAGTCTACCATTCTCAGAGCTTCTATTCCTAAATCTGGGAAATGAACACATTTCTACTTGTAACATATGCCACAGTGGGGTTGCACTCATTATTAAGTGTTATATCGTATCCTGCAACTTAATTTGGCACTGTTTACTTCTTCTGTACTCAAATCAACAGGACTGTTCCTAAAGTCAGGGGCTGTTTTCATGTCTTTCACAACACTAGTAACAGTCCTTTCCACACAGTGCAAGCTCAACAAACATGTGATTAATTGATGAATCTTTATTTCCCAGGGATTCTCTAAACAGGTTATCAACAAAAGTGTGTATTTAATTCTTAGACAAGGTACTTGACAGTTTGTCAATGATAGAATAAAGGGATAGTACTAAATGTCCCATAAGTCCCTCCCTGTACCAATACTAATTCATGAGACAAAACCAAACCCCCAATATAGCATTCTCTCTATTCCAATCAGCATCGTACTTTTTTTGGGGGGCGGCGGGTGTCAACAACCTCCTGGGCACAATTAACACCAATGGAGCTCTGATGGTGGTTGGGGATAGAAAGTAAATGGAGGAAGAGAAAATAAACAAAGGTGAGTGGTAAGTGGAATCACTAAGATGCCACCAGCTGTCAAAATTGTTTCTGTTCTGGCATGCTTAGGAGTCTTTTACAAAAGCAGCTATAGCCAGATGTGTGGGTGCCTAAATTTTCCCATGCTGCTTCCACTAACCCTTCTCATACCCTTCACGTTTTACTGACCTTCTTGATTAGAGCACACATCCTGAATAACAATCTGCAAAGCAGTCACTATGAGGTCTCACGTATTATAATAACAATTCTTGGAGGTTCCCAAATCTCCACAAGGAAAAAGAAAAAAGGAGATGACTGACAAACTTGCTGTAACTGTCATGCAGTCACTTCTTTTGTAATTAATCCATGGACCAAAAGGAGTGATGTTATAGGCCCACACGATCCAAGAGAAGAAAATGTAATCTATATATGTAATTTAAAATATTCTAATAGCCACATTAAAAAATAAACAGACGAAATTAACTTTAATAATATATTTAAACTCAGTATATCCAAAATATGATCATTTGAACATGTAAACAACTTAAAATTATTCATGAGATATTTCACTTTCTTTTTTTGTACTAAATCTTTGAAATATGGAGCATATTTTATGCTTATAATGCATCTCAATTTGAACACTAAGTTTCATCAGAAATGCTTATCTGGATTAAAATTTACAGTTTAAAAAGTCCATGCATGTGCCCAGATTGTTTCCAAATGTATTTAAATTTTCCAATACCTGAATCAAATATCAATTTTAAGAATGATATAAAATTTGAAGTTAGGTTCCTCATCGCCGTGGCCATATTTCAGGTGCTTGACAGCCACCTGTCTAAGTGGTTACCGTATTAATGCAGGTATAGCCAACCCTGTCTCTGTTACCTGGCTTCTTTTAAACCTGAACCAGATTAAAAGAAGTTACCCCATTCAACAGCAACTCCTTCTACATCACCCACCAGGTGCTCAAATTATGCCAAGTATTTTCTGCCCCACTACTAATCCTTACTTAAATTGTCAATATTTCAGTGATGGTCATTTATTAAGCAGCTTTTCCCAAGACTGGACAACTCTTTTAGCTCAGAGAGAAAGACACATCTCAATTCAGAGAAAGAATGGAGACACTGAGATTCAAAGAGATTCAAAGGCGTTGTTTTGGAGGTAAAGGTGGAAAATCCTGACTGACATTGTTACTTCTCTGTCCAGGAGGTTAGTCACCCTTCAAAGTTATGGCCATTGTTTATATTGAGCTTCTGGACTTCCATACTCACAGTAGCTGTCACTACCCCCATGGGTTCTTCACCTTCCTCAAGTGCTCCTTCCTAGTCTACCCCCGCCCCACAACCTCCTGTATCTCTAGCATCCTCTCTAGCCCACATTCCAGGAGCCCCTCTACTTCATTCTGAACAGTGCTTGTTGTTGACATAATGAAACATGAATAATTCAATAAATGAATCTCGAACCATCCTATTAATCATTCATTGGTCTAGGTACCTAAGTTGTCTTGAGAAAAGCTTTTCTGAATATACATGCCCCCACCCTTACCCAAAGGAACCAATTACAAACACTACAGAGTTCTCTCCCCATGTCCAAGTTCAGTGTTCCCCCTGCAGCCTATTTAAAAGTTGATCTTCTAAAGGCGCTGGATTCCTAAGGTAGTTCTATTTTGAGCCTTCTTCCTGTTCTGAAGCTAAAGTTGGACGGGCTTAGGTGTGATGTCACGGAAGGGAGACGCTGGCTTTTACAGAAGGGTCCTCTCCGGCAACTCCAGGGATGCTCTGATGGTGGAAACTAGGGGGAACATTCACTCCTCATCTCTTTCCCCTCCCTCCCCTTTTGAGTCCCAGCTATTCCTTAGCCAGCAACAAAACAAGTTCAAATAGGCACGAGAACATATTTACATATTACACTCTTTAAGCATGTCAGAAATGAAAAGACTGGGAGAAGGAAACTGGCTCAAACCAGGGAACAAGGGTGACAACCTCGTTCTCCACCCACCATCCCCACCTCCCCAAGTATCTATCATAGGGCTAGGGGCAAAGAGGGTGGGAGGCACCGTGGAGAATAAAGGGGTGACAGATCTAGGAAACTTGAAGAGGGAGACACTGTGGGGGATATTTACGACAGAAGGGACATCCTTGGGTCTCTTCCCTTCCACTGTTTTCTCCTCCCTTTTGTATGGTGAGAATTGGGGCTGGGTGTGCCTTCTGCTTTGGGAGGCCTGTTTGGCTCTGGAAAAGGAAGAGGGGCCAGGGTGGGGCCGAGGGAAAGAGAGCCAGAGACTGCTCAGGCCTGATTCTGGGTTATGCTCTTAGAGGAAGAATGACGGGGACTGGAAGGGGACAGCTGAGGATTCCATTAGAAGACCCAGTTCGGAATAAATAACAGTACTGGGCCAAGAGGGGTGCGTGGGGGGGGGGTGCGGGGGCACCTCTGTCTCTCAATCTAAATGCAGTAGGTAGTTGCTCCTTGGTAGGGGTGCAGGTCCAGAGGAAAAAGAAAATCCCAACACATCTGTAGACCATTACTTGCCAGGCAGGAGATGGATGTGCCCAGTGCAACCGGCAGGTGAAAGCAGCACTTTCTGGCCAATTCCGGGATGCGGGGCTGGCTAAAAGCTCTGGGGGAACACAGGATTCCTTGGTTTCTTGGCTCACCTCTCCTCCAAAGCGGGAATAAGCACAGGTGTGGTCCTTCTCCAAGAAGGTGGCTTCTGGCGAGCAGGCAGCTGAGCGAAGGAAAGGATTCTTTGGTCCGGGAAGGCAGGGAGAAGCCTGGGGTCAGCTAAGGCCAGGAGCAGGCGGTGTCCGGCCAAGTCCCCTCCCCCTTCTTGAAAACCGACCTGGACCGGCATAAATTACAGCAATACGGCCCCATCCCCAATGTTTCTAATAAAAGAAACAGCCTCTCAAGACTACGTAAAACACTGCAAGCTCTGGCTGATGAAAATAAACAGGTGAACCTGAAGAGAAGCGGGAAAAGACGAGATGGGAGAATGAACGCGCTTGGGAGAAATTGAGGCTTCCCCGCCCTCCCTACACACCCACTTCCCTCCAAGCCCGGAGAATCTGCGTGGCAGGTTGCAAGCTACAAATGCCATAATGACAGGCCCCCATCTCTCCGCTCCGCGCCCATTCTCTCTCCTACCCCAGGGTCCAGCGTCTCGTCTCAGCCTCGTGGTAGCGCCCGTCCCCGGACCCCCGCGCGCGGGCTCACCCTCGCCCTGGCCCGCCGCCGCCGCGGGGGACTCCGGTCTTCCTCTCTGCCTCCTCCTCCTCCTCCTCCTCCTCCGCCTCCTCCTCTCAGACTCCTCCCGCCGGATCCTTCATGTAAACAACATCCAGGCTCTATTTACAGTCGCCGCCGGACCGCGAGGGACCCACGCCAGCACCCTGGGAGGAGGCGGGGGCCGAGGAAAAGCGAGTGCGCAACATTTACACACACACCCGGGCGCCCCGCCCCGCCGCTCCGCGCCGCTCCCCTCCAGGGGGCCGGGCCGGGCGCCTGGGGGCCGCGGGCACCCTCGCCCACTCCTTTCCGGCGGGGCCCGACGTCCGGCCAGGCCGAGGAAACCGCGGTAAATGCCGGTGGGCAGGTCTCCCCCCGCCCCCCAACCCGCGGAAGAAAAAATCCCCAACATTACAAACCAATCCCAGGATCTGGTTTTATGTCTTTTCTGTTAGGG